TTGAAGTGTTTTTAAATATCTTTTTATATTTTGTGTTTCCATTGCATTGTATTGCGTACAAATCATTTTTCGCAAAATATCACATTTGGGGTGATGTGCAACACTTTTTTCTTTTTTATACTTTACGTGCCATAACTGCGATTCACATGATGAATAAATTAATAAAAAATTCTGAAAAACTTATAATGCAGAAATATTCTATTATAATGCCTCTAAGTCAATCAATTTTGAAATATTTAAAAATTTAATTATTTGACATGTTTTTAGTCCAACGAAAAAAAACGTTGCACATCACTCTTTCTGTGCGGGTGTGTTTTTTAATAGCTCGAAGTGTTAGCGGTCGCACAATTTCCGCCGGTAGTGTATTCGTTAAAAAAATCCGACAGTAATCTACAAATGTTACTATCCTTTACTTTGTTCACTCATGAATTTAACATAAGATCTTTTGAAATTTAACCATGAATTTTCTTCCTCTTTCCAAAACAAATAACATAAGAATATCTTCCTTTACCTAATTTGCATATCTACTCTTTTTATACATGAAACAGTTATAAATTTACCTATAATATTTTTAGACAACGTACATTGAGTTATTTTACATAGGGGGTTGTCGGCAATGGCGGGTATAGCGAGACACTGTGATATTTCAAACAGCTGACAATGAGTTGACAGTGCTGCCTCTTCTGTCAATTCTTCTTCTTAAATGACTTTAGGCTTAGCCAACTATCAGAACAACTCTCTTCTGTCAATAAAGTGAAATTTGATTGTGTTGAAGCTTTTTTATATGATCCACACTTTCTGGACGTAAAATCTGTCACTATAATGCTGGTAATAGTTTTAAGCAAGTTTTAAAGTTTTATTTTTCAGAAGAAAGTGTCATAACAATAACCTAACCTAAAAGTTTCGAATGTATTTTCAAATAATATTTAATATTGTAAAGCGACGTCGTAAAGCGATGGCAAGCACGGTTCTGACATTGTCAAACAATATTACTGTTCTAAAAAATAAGGGCGAGAATAAAGAAAAAAATAAAATTATGGGAAGGGAGAAAAAGCCTAATAATCAAATGTACACATTTCTAAAATGTGTACACTACTTTTAATTACTAAAAAACAATATTTCTATATTTTAGACATCAGTGAACAAGAATATTACAATAAAAATTACAATATTTAAGATTTTCAATGTTTTTTCGAACATTGAAATAGACTATTCTTAATACTTTTTAACCAATGGCGTTCCACTTTTTTACAATTATTACCGAATAAAACGTGTACCTGGTCCGAATAGCATTCAGGCAACTTGGGTCCAGTTGACCCTGACTCCCTTTAGCCCGGAAAAAAATTTTATTTACGTGAAAGAGTAAGTTGAAACTTGAAACTCCTTTTTCTCGAAGCAGCATTTTGCAAATGGCGGATTTTACGTCAAATGTTCAACCAAAATAAAAATGTTGATTAATTAATCCCCTATTTTTTATGAGTTGTCCTTCACGTTAGTAATTTATTTGCCAAATATTTTTGAATTTTATTAAAAATTATAAGAAGGGGAGGGGGTAAAAGTTTTTAGTTTTGATGCGACACGCACTATATTTATTTATTGCATTTAAATGAAACATTGAAAAATAGTTTTCGAAAATAGTTTCTTTAGATTTTTTTATCAGCTTTCGATTGCCGTAGTCCATTTTAGAAATTTTTTGATTTTGACAAAAATTTTTGAAAATTAAAGATAAAATTCAAATTTTTTTATCTTCGGGCTCGTTTTTTTTATTTTATTTTTATTGGAAAGCTGAGGTTTTTTCCCAAAAAATACTTACTTTTCAGAAAACCATTTTTTTGTTTTCGAGAAATTAAATATTGAATATAGCGCGTCACGTTAGCGAGCGGACACTTTGCGCTGCGCCGCGTGGTCTGAATCTGCAATTTCCTGTTTAAAGAAGTGTACAGCCTATAGATTTTGTCGAAATTTTGCAATTAATAATCACGTGAAGAGTTCATTTGTTAACTTTATTTAACTTTATTTGTTTATAGCATAATGAAATGATTACTTATGAAAAAAACTATAAAATATATTATTAGTAACATAATTTTAACAGAATTAGGAGAAAACCAATCTATTTTGAATTAAAACAAATGAACGATTCATTTGTTAACTTAATTTGTTTAAATAACATTAATAAATAATACTTTTTAACAATATTTAAGTTTATCTGTTAATAGTACCGTAATTTTAAAGCTATTAGAAAAGAAACAAATTTTTTTCTACTATAAATAAAAGCTATTCATTTGTTAATTTAAATTAAATTAAAAGTTGTTTAAAATTATAAAAAATAGATTTTTATTGTCGAAATATCGTTTTTATCTTTTATATGTTAATACTCAAAATTTAAACAATGTCGAATAGAAACCAATTTTTTCCAAATATATGAGAAGAAAAGCTATTGAAATCATCATTTATTTGTCATTTGCATTAAAATAATAATAATAAAAATTTGAAATTCAAAAAAGTGCTTCCTTAAGTTTCTTAAAAATTTATTTTTGAGTGTTTTAAAAAAAATTTGGTTGGACATTTGACGTAAAATCCGCCAAATCGGTGACCACGATTTCATAAAAACTACTACACCCCCGTGTAGAAATGGTGGTCGGGTTCTAGTGGGGACCTCACCAGTTTACCCCATTTGAAAAAGGGCTCCAACTAGAGAAACTGGTGGGGTTCTAGTCGATTTTGTCACGCTCTAGTTGATAGGGCCCCGACGAGAAGTTCTAGTTCACTTCTACCGGTTTTAAAAATTATTATTTTTCAACTTAACTTATTTATAATTGAATTCTCCATTCATATTAGCATTATTAATGATTGTTGCACACGAAAAATCTCGTGCCTATGAGGGTTCGAACCTTGGACCTTGGGGACACCAGACGGATACACATACCTCTCGGCCATGATAGGTTGGATGGACTTCCGCTTAAAGTACATCCCGTTTGGAAATTCCGCCATTTGTCCCTATCTCTAGTAGGGCTCTCGCTAGATTCTGACTAGAATCTCTAGTCGAGAAAAACTAGTCGGGTTCCAATCTAATTCTAGTTAGATGATTCTTACAAGCATTATTTATTAAAAAAGTTTGCATATTATTTGATTACTTAATTTTTTAATTATTTAAACAAAATCTTTTATTTATTAAGTAAATTAAAAAAGAATAAACCATAAATAAATATTAATTATGTGGATATAATTAATTTTTATTAACTAAATATTGTAATATATTATTTATTATTATATTATTTATTATTATTATTATTTATTAAAACAATTATAGTAAATATAAAAATATAAAAAGTAATGTAATAAATTAGTTATGTTTAATTTTTCAATAACGTTATAGATATAATTAATTCATAATATTTTGAATTTTAGGGAGTTATTATTCATCACTCTTATTTAACTCTGCATTCCTAATGATAGTTAATAATAATTAATTATGACATTATTGAAAAATTAAACATTACTAATTGCAGTGCTTTTTATATTTACTATAATTATTATAATTATATTATTCAATTTATTATTGTAATTATAATATTATAGCATCTTTTTAATTATTATTAAATACTTGCATTAATTGTGAAAAACATTTTAAAGTATAATTGCACATACATATCTTTTTAAAAAAAAATTATTTTTACGAATAATATTACAATATTTAGGTAATAAAAATTAGTTATACCCACATAATTAATATTTATTTATGTTTTATTCTTTTAATTTACATATTAAATAAAAGATTTTTATTTAATAAAATTGCTTTATTGGAATTTTTTGTAAAAATATTCTACAATATTTAAAATTTTGTTTAAAAAATGTTAAAAAATTAAATAATTAAATAATATGCAAAATTTTTTAATAAATAATGCTAGTAAGTTTTTCTATCTATTAATCTGAATTATTTATATCTATAGAAAGATAATTTATGTATGTCATACTTGTACACTAGTTTGTCTAGTTTGAAATCGATAAGGTCCTAGTGAGTTTTTTCTAGTCTGAATTATCTAACTAGAATTTGATTGAAGCCCGACTAGTTTTTCTAGACTAGAGATTCTAGTCAGAATCTAGCGAGGTCCCTACTAGAGATAGGGACAAATGGGGAAATTTCTACACGGGCCGATTATGATTAAAATTATTGAGCTGCTTTACACAAAAAAATGATAGGATAAAAATATTAGATTTAGACTGTATCATAATTATTTTAAATTCTTAATCAAATTATTATTATCCAATAAAAGAGAAAAAGTACATAGAATTAAAAAAAATAATTAATTATTATATTAAACATATTTATGACTTAATTTGTATTTACATACTTTGGAATTAAATTAAACTTATAAAATAAATATTTAACACTGGGGAAACGCAAACACCTGAACCTGACGAATACGCACTTTCAAAACCCGGAACAATAAGTAAGCAATTTCCAACCCCCATATCCTTTTTCCATTCCTTTTCCTATGTGAGACTTCGCTCTGGAAGCAGAACTTCGGCGTGATCCCTTCTTGTCGGTGGCTGAAAGCTCGTATGATAAGCAAGAGGCGTTTGCGTCTTGATTAGAAAGGCCCCACCCCCACCCAGGAGCCCACAAAGATTTACCATGATCTGAGTGGGTAAGTAGGCAAGGGATGCTATACCTTGTCGCTCGTAGTCGAGCAGTATATCTTGACTCCGTTATGGTAGAGACCTTAGATTTATAAACTTAACCAAAATAAAAACTTAGCCTATATCATCTGGATGGTACCTATCTTTAAAGATTAAATTTGGGAAAATGTATAAAAGAATGGGATTGCTTTATTTAATACATATTTAAGTGTTAACATAAAAAAATTAATTTTCCGAATTAATTTTCGCTCAGTTAGTCGAAACACTATATGCTCCAAAAGTCAAGTAGTCGAATGTACATTGTATAAATTTATTCTAATAGACTAATAATTAAAATACAGTGTTTCTGTTTATTTCAGGGTGCGTCATCCAGCTTAGTGGTAAAATTTGCAGATACTGAAAAGGAAAGACAATTGAGGCGCATGCAGCAAACAGCTGCCAATATGGGCCTCATCAACCCCTTCGTTTTCAATCAGTTTGGAGCTTATGGCGCAGCTTACGCTCAAGTGAGTAGTTTTTCTTTTTATTTTACGTGTCAATCCAGAAAAAATCATCTGGAGGCGGTTGCTTGATGATTTTAAGAAACCTACAATTTATAGGGTAAAGTACGGATTGTTGCAACCCTCTTTGAAAAGTTTGTACAAAATCAATAATTATTAATATTTTCTAGTCGCTTCTCGATTTTTCAACACTATTACTGAGTAAAAATTCCTGAAGTGGCCCCACCTTATTATCGTAAAGTTGCAAAATTTAAATAAGTATTTGTACTTAAAAGTACTAGTATCTAGTAATATTTTCACAAAGTATTTCAAAAATATTTAAATTATTTATATTTTTTATTGTTAATTAACCCATTAACGCCCAAATGACCGAAATTTTTACTTGGACTTCAATACACGATTTGAAGTATTTATATAGACAATAAATTTTAGCAGCAATGAGATGTAGGGGGTTTTGGGGGTCGCTCTTTCAGATTCTGGGATCTAAATAGCGATTCGATCAACACAAAATCCAATATGGCGGCTATTTTGAAAAAAACCCAAAAAAATAAGTACATTTTTTTTTAAATATTTTTTTTTAGATCTAAAAATTTTTTTTAAACCTTTCTTAAGTATGCTATTGGTGGACAAAATAGTAGTACTTTCAAAATATAAAATAGAGGAATTCTGATTTCAAGATGGTGAAATCAAAATTTTGAAAAAGTAAATGCATTATAGTAAAAAAAATCAAACTTTACACAAACATTTTAAAGTTTACAAATTTGATTCAAAATGTATACTCTGGGGTTTTCGGGGTCGCTGATGACGAATCCGATGTCAGTTTTTCAAAATTAAAAATGTCGGATCCAATATGGCGGACATTTTTTTGTTAAATTTGGATTCGCTTAAATCTTGTAACTCGGGGGTTTTTGGATACGCTGATGACGATTCCAATGTCAGTTTTTCAAAATTTAAAATAGCGGATCCATTATGGCAAACAATTTTTTTTTTAAATTTGGATTCGCTTGAAACTTGTAACTCGGGGGTTTTCGGGGTCGCTGATGATGATTCCGATGTCAGTTTTTTAAAACTCAAATTGGCGAATCCAATATAGCGAACATTTTTTTTTTAATTTGGATTCGCCTAAAACTTGTCACTCGGGGGTGTTCGGGGTCGCTGATGACGAATCCGATGTCAGTTTTTAAACATTCAAAATGGCAGACCCAATATGGCGGACATTTTTTAAAAAATAATTTCGATTCGCTTGAAACTTGTCACTCGAGGGTTTTTGGGGTCGCTGATAACGAATCCAATGTCAGTTTTTTAAAATTCAAAATCGCGGATCCAATATGGCATATCGTGGAGATCCACTTCACCCATGAACTTATTGGAAAGGTGAAATGCGTTAGGAAATTTCAATGGAATTTCATATGGAAATATGGAAAACAATTGAAGAACGAAGCAACGTTATATATGTGTATGAGTATGTTAACGATCGTAAAAACATCAGAAGGTTAATTGTTAAATTAATAATTGTATTGTGGAAAGAATAGTATATTAAAGGTATAAAAAATGGGGAAAAATTGCATTGGGATCTCGTGTTCTTTTTACCATAAAAGTGAAACAAACAAATCGTCATTAGCGACACTGAAAACCCCCGAGTTACAAGTTTCAAGCGAATCCAAATTTAAAAAAAAAATGTCTGCCATATTGGATCCGACATTTTGAATTTTGAAAAACTGACATCGGATTCGTCATCAGCGACCCCGAAAACCCCCGAGTATACATTTTGAATCGAATTTGCAAACTTTTTGAATGTTGGTGTAAATTTTGATTTTTTTTACTATAATATAATAATGCATAATATATAATATATAATATAATAATGCATTTACTTTTTCAAAATTTTGATTCCTCCATCTTGAAATCAGAATCTCTCTATTTTATATTTTGAAAGTACAACTATTTTGCCTACCAAAAGCATACTTAAGAAAGGTTTAAAAAATTTTTTTAGATCTAAAAAAAAATTTTTTTTTAATGTACTCATTTTTTGGGTTTTTTTTTTTCAAAATAGCCGCTATATTGGATTTTGTGTTGATCGAATCGCTTTTTTGACCCCAGAATCTGAAAAAGTGACCACCGAAATCCCCTAAATCTCATTGCTGCTAAAATTTATTGTTTATAAATACTTCAAATTGTGTATTGATCAAGTAAAACTTTTGGTGATTTGGGTGTTAATGGGTTAAAGATTTTTAAACCCTGTTAATAAAATAATTTTAATTAATTGAGTTTTTGCATAAATTTAACAAAAATTTATGGTTATGTCAATGAGTAAATGTACTTTCGAATAATAAAATAAAAATTTGAAAACATTATTTTTTTTATTTTTTAATAATTTTTTTATCAACAAATGCAGTTTTAACTGCTTTCTACACGCAATTAAAAAATTTTTTTTGCTAAATGTTCTTTAGAATGTAGGTAAACAAGAACTGAAAAGAAATCTTAGTGCAAATGAAAAGCTTTTTCATAATAAATTGGACTATTTGAGGCTCCGGATCTTAAAAGGGCACACGCGCGAACACACGGCAAATAATTTGGCCCCTGGAGATAAAATTTTGAAGTTGTTCAAAATGAATTTTAAATTATTGTTTTTTATACAGAATTTCAAGGCGAAACTTTTTTTCTAATAGAAATTTTTTATATAATTTCTCGTTTTGACGTAAATTGAAAAAAACGTGATTTTTTAAGTTAAGAAATTTTAATGAATTTTTGACTTCAACTCGTGACTACTTCGGTAAATATTAATATTTTTTTACGAAATTTTCACACAATATTCTTCAAACTATTCCAAGAGTAAAACAATATTTGGAAATTTAAAGAAAAATTGTATGTCAAAGTAAATAATTATTTAAATAATTTTGTCGGAAAAATGATTCTCCTATTTTCAATTGAAAAAGTTGAGTGACGAATTTTCGTTTTCAGAAAACTTTCAGCGACAAAAATGTTAATTAATATGTTAGGAAGTTTTTTGGAAAATATCTCGCCATTTGATAATAAATTAAAGACAATAGAGCAATTTTAACATCGTCGCGCTCTGCTGTAAACGTAAACAATGTCTAACTACTATCGGTGTAAAATGTAAAGTCAGTTGGCTTTGAAAACTTGTAACTTGAGTAAAAAAAATCGCACAATATTGAAACTGGATGAAATCAGTAGGTAATTTATTTCTACGTAACTGCAGAAAATGAAAAACTAAAAAAAAATTCTCTCTTAAAGTTATTAATTTTTGAAGGAAAAAAGTACATGTTTTTTGACACTGTTTTTAAGAAGGCCTACTTTGGAAACACGTAACTCGTTTAATAAGAGTCCTATAAAGTTCCTGATTTTTTTCGATGTTCCTTGAATCTTCCTGAATAATGTTGTTTAAACAAATAAGCGTTATTATAATAACTTTTTGAGATTATTAAACGAAACCGTCCCAGGCGCGAAGTGACGCCGAGTTCAGGCTTTATAAAGATTGGCCGAGCATTGGTCAACATTGATTGAGCATGAGTGAATCAGCGAGAGCAGGAATGATCGAAGCTTTAATGTAACACCGATTCCAGACTGCAGCGCGAGCCTTGATTCAGCATTGGACATCAATGCTCAATCAATGCTGCGGACGCCTAATGCAGGACTGAAACAAGACTGCTTCCACTGTTCCCAAATTTACTCGTTTCTCACGTTTATTCAATATAATGTGAATATATGAATTATTAATAATAATAATAAATATTATTGTTATTATTTTAATTCATGTGCGTATATATACATATATATTTAATGACAATAAGTTATTATTTGTAATAATTATATTATCTTCATATAAATAAGAATATATTACTAACAATAAATATCATTTGAATAGTAATTTAAAAAAAATAATTTTAGTAAAAAAAGACAATTTTTCTGTTAATCGTTACATTTTTTTCTTGATTTTTAACATACTTTTAACATTATTTATAAACATGTTCACATTTTTTATTCACGACACAACACACAATTTTATTTTTTTATATAAACGCTTATAACAAAGAATGAAAAATATTCGCTCGCATGTGGGATCGAAACTCACGCACCCCGCCCCTAACGCATACCAGAAGTTCTCAACGCACGCATTTAAACCGCTCGGCCACAGAAGGCTGGAAATAATAAAAATAATAAAAATACGCGAAATAATATTTTACATAATTTTAATTTAATGGAAGATTTAATTTTTTATAATCTCTATTGCATATAACCAAGAATAGATTTTCATTAATTCATAGAATATTCTACGAATTACGTATTCAGTGACATAAAATAAAAACTAAGCAATAATGTTAGCATTAAATTTTAGATATCTACCTTTTGAGTAAATAATAATTATAAAGTTTAAAATTCCATGAAATAACAATTATATAGAGTTAAATTTGGGGAGAGTCATACGTCCCTAAATATTGACAATTTAAGGAATTAAAAAGGCCATAGCAGTATAAGCATGTAAAAAGTGCCCCCTCTTGGATTGGGTCCATATTTAGGGAATAATTTTGACCTATTATGAGACTTATATTTTCACCAAGTTTCAACTCGAAAAAAAATCTATATAAACGAGGGGCCAACATTTTTTAAAATTACATTAAAAATTAATTAATACTTAAATTAAATTTCTAAAAAAGTTAATAATATATGCCTGTTTATTGTAAATATTGATTTTTTAGTATGTACAAGGTTAATTAAAAAAGTAAATGGACGTACACTACCGTCGGGAATTACCGGTACGGCTGCACGCGCACGGCCCAAAAACATGTCAATCACTGATAAAACGATTTATTTGATTCAAAAAAATTTTGTTTAAATCAAACTTAAAATATCTTTGCTATACAGTCAAACAAATTTCAGTTTAATTCAAACATAATTTTTGGTTCATTTATAGAAATAATATATTCAATTCAAACAAAATTTATGGTTGATTTTAAATTATTTCTAATCAACATTTAAGTTTGGAT